GAGTGTACAGGTCATCAGAGGTAGGGTCACCTGGAGGTACAGGGTCACCTGTGAGTGTACAGGGTCACATGAGTGTACAGGATCACAGTGTACAGGGTCACTCAGAGTGTACAGGGTCACCTGTGAGTGTACAGGGTCACCTGTGAGAGTACAGGGCCCAAGTGTACAGGGTCACCTGTGAGTGTACATGGTCACCTGTGAGTGTACAGGGTCACCTGTGGAGGTATACAGGGTCACCTGTGAGTGTACAGGTCACTCTATGAGTGTACAGGAGTCATACAGGATCACCCAGGAGGCGACAGGGTCACCTGAGGTACAGGGTCACCCTGAGGTGCACAGGGTCACTCAGGAGTGTACAGGGTCACCTGTATGCACATGGTCACCCGTGAGTGTACAGGGTCACCTGTGAGTGTACAGGGTCACCCAGAGTACAGGGTCACCTCAGAGTGTACAGGGTCACCCAGAGTAGGGTCACCAGAGTGTAGGGGTCACCCAGGGGTACAGGGTCACCTGAGAGTGTACAGGGTCACCAGGAGTGTACAGGGTCACCCAGTGTACAGGGTCACCTGTGAGTGTACAGGGTCACCTTAGTGTGTACAGGGTCACCTGTGAGTGTACAGGGTCACCAGAAGTGTGGCAGGTCACTCAGAGTGTCACAGGGTCACCTGTGAGTGTACAGGGTCACCTGTGAGTGTACAGGGTCACCTGTGAGTGTACAGGGTCACCCAGGAGGTACAGGGTCACCTGGCGTACAGGGTCACCTGAGAGTGTACAGGGCACCTGTGAGTGTACAGGGTCACCCGTGAGTGTACAGGGTCACCTGTAAGTGTACAGGGCCCTGTGAGTACAGGGTCACCCAGAGTGTGCACAGGGTCACCTGTAAGTGGCCAGGTCACCTGAAGTGTACAGGGTCACCTGTGAGTGTACAGGGTCACCTGTGAGTGTACAGGTCACCTGTGAGTGTACAGGGTCACGCGGAGTGTACAGGATCACCCAAGGTACAGGGTCCAGGTACAGGGTCACCAGGAGGTACAGGTCACCTGTAAGTGTACACAGGGTCATCAAGTGTACAGGGTCACCTGTGTGTACAGGTCACCAGAGTGTACAGGTCACTCAGAGTGTACAGGGTCACTCAGGAGTGTACAGGGTCACCTGTGAGTGCACAGGGTCACCAGAGTGTACAGGGTCACCCAGAGACAGGGTCACCTGTGAGTGTACAGGGTCACCCAGAGTACAGGGTCACCTGTGAGTGTACAGGGGTCACCTGTGAGTGTACAGGGTCACTGGAGTGTACAGGGTCACCTGTAAGTGTACAGGGTCACCCAGAGTGTACAGGGTCACCCTGAGTGTCAGTCCCAGAGTGTACAGGGTCACCTGTGAGGTACAGGGTCACCTGTGAGTGTGGGTCACCTGTGGAGGTCACCCGTGAGTGTACAGGGTCCCTGTGAGTGTACAAGTGCCTGTGGTGTACAGGGTCACCTGTGAGTGTACAGGGTCACCTGTGGTGTACAGGGTCACCCTGGTGTGCAGGGTCAATCTGTGAGTGTGCAGGTCACCTGTGAGTGTACAGGGTCACCTGTAGTGTACAGGGTCACCCGTGAGTGCTGGGGTCACCTGTGAGTGTACAGGGTCACTGTGAGTGCTGCACGTGGGAGGGTCCCTGTGAGTGTACAGGTCACCCGTCAGGGTCACCTAGTGGGCCAGTATGCGGTCACCTGTAGTGCAACCCACACCCCCCCACCCACCCAAGTGTACAGGTCACCTGAGAGTGTACAGGTCACCTGTGTGTGGTCTGTGAGTGTACAGGGTCACCTGTGAGTGTACAGGGTCACCCGTGAGTGTGCAGGGTCACCAGTGGTGTACAGGGTCACTGTGGTGTACAGGGTCACTAGTGAGTGTGGGGTCACTGTGAGTGACAGGGTCACCCTGGTGTGCGGGGTCACCGTGAGTGTGCACACCAGGGGTCACCTGTGGTGTACAGGTCACCTGTGAGTGTACAGGGGTCACCGTGAGTGTACAGGGTCACCTGTAAGTGTACAGGGTCACCTGGGTGTACAGGGTCACCTGTGAGTGTACAGGGTCACCTGTGGTGTACAGGGTCACTAAGTGCAGGGTCACCTGAGTGTACAGGTCACCGTGCCGTGAGTGTACAGGGTCACCTGGGTGTCAAGGTCCGAGTGTGGCCCAGAGGTGTGGGTCACCCATGAGTGTACAGGGGTCACCTGTGGAGTGACAGGGTCACCGGAGTGCGGGGTCACCGAGGTGCAGTCACCCAGAGTGCACAGGTCACCAAGTGTACAGTCACCTGGTGTGGGTCACCCGTGAGTGTACAGGGTCACCGTGAGTGCAGGTCACCTGTGAGTGTACAGGGTCACCCGTGAGTGTACAAGGTCACCGTGAGTGTACAGGGTCACCTGTGGTGTACAGGAGTCACCCGTGAGTGTGGGTCACCTGTGAGTGTGGATCACCAGGGTGTACAGGGTCACCAGGAGTGTACAGGGTCACCCGTGGTGTACAGGGTCACCCGTGAGTGTTGCGGGTCACCTGTGAGTGTACAGGGTCACCATGAGTGTACAGGGTCACCTGTAGTGTACATGGTCACCTGTAGTGTACAGGGTCACCCGTGGTGTACAGGGTCACCTGTGGTGTACAGGGTCACCAGAAGTGTACAGGGTCACCCTGTGAGTGTGGGGTCACCTGTGAGTGTACAGGGTCACCTGTGGTGTACAGTCACCTGTAGTGTACAGGGTCACCTATAAGTGTACAGGGTCACCTGTGAGTGTACAGGGTCACCTGTGAGTGTACAGGGTCACTCAGGAGTGTACAGGGTCACCTAGGCGTACAGGGTCACCTGTAAGTGTACAGGGCCCGTGAGTGTACATGGTCACCTATGAGTGTACAGGGTCACCTGTGAGTGTACAGGTCACCAGAGTGTACAGGGTCACCTGTGAGTGTGTACAGGGTCACCTGGTACAGGGTCACGTGGGTACAGGGTCACCTGAGTGTACAGGGTCACTCAGAGTGTACAGGGTCACCTGTGAGTGCACAGGGTCACCTGTAAGTGTACAGGGTCACCCAGAGTGTACAGGGTCACCTGTAAGTGTACAGGGTCACCAAAGGTACAGGTCACCGGAGGTACAGGGCACCTGTGAGTGTACAGGGTCACCCAGAGTGTACAGGGTCACCTGTGAGTGTACAGGGTCACCAGAGTGTACAGGGTCACCTGTATGCACAGGGTCACCTGTGAGTGTACAGGGTCACCTGTAAGTGTACAGGGTCACCTGTGAGTGTACAGGTCACCCAGGTACAGGTCACCGAGTGTACAGGGTCACTGAGAGTGTACAGGGTCACCTGTAAGTGTACAGGTCACCTGTGAGTGTACAGGGTCACCTGAGAGTACAGGGTCACCTGTAAGTGTACAGGGTCACCCGTGAGTGTACAGGGTCACCCGTGAGTGTACAGGGTCACCTGTGAGTGTACAGGGTCACCCTGAGTGTACAGGGTCACCTGTGAGTGTACAGGGTCACCTGTGAGTGTACAGGGTCACCTGGGAGTGTACAGGGTCACCTGTGAGTGTACAGGGTCACCGTGAGTGTACAGGGTCACTCAGAGTGTACAGGGTCACCTGTGAGTGTACAGGGTCACCTGTGAGTGTACAGGGTCACCTGTGAGTGTACAGGGTCACCCAGAGTGTACAGGGTCACCTGTGAGTGTACAGGGTCACCTGTGAGTGTACAGGGTCACCGTGAGTGTACAGGGTCACCTGTGAGTGTACAGGGTCACCTGTGAGTGTACAGGGTCACCCAGGAGTGTACAGGGTCACCTGTGAGGCACAGGGTCACTGAGAGTGTACAGGGTCACCTGTAAGTGTACAGGTCACCTGTGAGGTACAGGGTCACCCAGAGTGTACAGGGTCACCTGTATGTACAGGGTCACCCAGTGTACAGGGTCACCTGTGAGTGTACAGGGTCACCTGTGAGTGTACAGGGCCCAGAGTGTACAGGGTCACCTGTGAGTGTACAGGGTCACCTGTAAGTGTACAGGGTCACCGAGAGTGTACAGGGTCACCCAGAGTGTACACAGGCCTGTAAGTGTACAGGGTCACCCAGAGTGTACAGGGTCACCTGTGAGTGTACAGGGTCACCTGTGAGTGTACAGGGTCACCCGTGAGTGCATGGTCACCAGAGTGTACAGGGTCACCCAGAGTGTACAGGGTCACCTGTGAGTGTACAGGGTCACCCGTGAGTGTACAGGGTCACTCCGAGTGTGTACAGGGCCTGTGAGTGTACAGGTCACCCAGAGTGTACAGGGTCACCCGTGAGTGTACAGGGTCACCTGTGAGTGTACAGGGTCACCCAGAGTGTACAGGGTCACCGTGAGTGTACAGGGTCACCTGTGAGTGTACAGGGTCACTCAGCGTACAGGGTCACCCGTGAGTGTACAGGGTCACCCGTGAGTGTACAGGGTCACCTGTGAGTGTACAGGATCACCTGTGAGGTACAGGATCACCTGTGAGTGTACAGGGTCACCTGTGAGTGTACAGGGTCACCTGTATGTACAGGGTCACTCCAGAGGTACAGGGTCACCCTGAGTGTACAGGGTCACCCAGAGTGTACAGGGTCACCTGTGAGTGTACAGGGTCACCAGAGTGTACAGGGTCACCCAGTGTGCAGGGTCACCAGAGTGTACAGGGTCACCCTGAGTGTACAGGGTCACCCGTGAGTGTACAGGGTCACCCTGTGAGTGTACAGGGTCACCGTGAGTGTACAGGGTCACCTGTGAGTGTACAGGATCACCGTGAGTGCACAGGTCACCTGATATGCACAGGGTCACCCGTGAGTGTACAAGGTCACCTGTGAGTGTACAGGGTCACCATAGTGTACAGGGTCACCTGTGAGTGTACAGGGTCACCTGTGAGTGTACAGGGTCACCTGTGAGTGTACAGGGTCACCTGTGGGCTCAATATAAGCATCTAACATTAACCAAACACAACACCAGTAGTGAAGATGTCAGGGTAGATAGTTACTCACCTTTTCTGGTTAAACATCAGTTCTCTGTGGAGGTTCTTTTTGTCCGAGGACTCTAGACAGGGGTTAACGAGCTTCTTGGGCATAATCAGACCCCGCCCGTCCATCCTGCCCCCCTGTCCTGGCTCTGGCTGTAGTTTCTGTTGCTCCTGATTCTCGTCGTTACTGTAGGGATAAAGGTCTTTACCGTTATTGACTACATTCTATTTAGCGGACTATATATGTTCGTTATATCCAGGTTTATGCGAAAATTCTATATATTAGAGTAAGTAAATAAGTAAATAAGAAAGTAAGTAATTAAGTAAATAAGTAAGACACTAACGAGTTGACTTGATTATTCCTCTCAACCATGGTAGTGGCTGTTGGCTTGTTTGTGTCTCTTTCTTCGTCACTGTAGTCAGGATCTGGGATCATCGCTCCATAAACAACCTCTGTGGACACACAAACAGATAATCAACATCTTCACTATTATAAGATTTTAATTATAAGACTCTAATGCACTATGTAAGTATTGAGTATTATTATAAGACTCTTAACTAATGCACTATGTAAGTCTTCACAATAAGCACTATACTAATGTGTAATAAGACCTATAATGCTTACTAACATGCTAACTGAAAATGCATATGGTTTAATTATTGTCTAAAACCACAAACGTTCCTTACACACCAATTTTATTATGCCAATTTTAATGTTTTGTACGCATCAATGTTAATATGTTAATTTCAAGCTTGTACACTTCAATTATAATATGCCAATTTTATTATCCTGATTTCCAAGTTTGCAAAAACCAATTATTTTATCCCAATTTCAATGTTTCGTTCACACCAATTTATAATATGCCAATTTTATTATCCCAATTTCAATGCCCTCTCAAGAATATCGTCTGGATACAGTTATCGTATTTCCCCAATTAATCGTCTTTAAAACGCTTGTACCTAATTCATCATAACCCTGAATTAAATAGCAATTTCATTCTTCAGTTACCAATTATATTTGTTTTAATTTTAAGTTCAAGATAAAATTCTACCAAATTTTATCTCGTAAATAATTAAGGTACAACTTCAGGTAATTAAATTTATCTCGTAACAGGTAAAATTAAATATCACACACACAATTGTGAAGTCCGCTATTGAGAGGAATTTCTACACATCTAATTACAGGTACTAATTACGTTACATAATTAATTAAGACACTGAAAACACATAGACATCTAAACAGACAAACTACTACTCATAACAAAAGCTTTAAATCACTGTACAACACCAATAATAATAATAAGATTACCTGAAGATTACACCCAGCTTATTTGTGGGATTAGGTTAGGATGATTAATCTCCAGGTGAAATAAGCTGGGGGTGTTTAATCTCCAGGTGAAATAAGCTGGGGGTGTGTTTAATCTCCAGGTGAAATAAGCTGGGGGTGTTTAATCTCCAGGAATAAGCTGGGGTGTGTTTAATCTCCAGGTGAAATAAGCTGGGGGTGTTTAATCTCCAGGTGAAATAAGCTGGGGTGTGTTTAATCTCCAGTGAAATAAGCTGGGGTGTTTAATCTCCAGGTGACCCAGAAATTAGTTCACTTTGATGGGAAATTTACGACAGAGCAAAACTTAAATAATTCTTGCAAATCTGAAGGAAAAGAGTGATTCATTATTTATTTGTTTGTTGTTTTGTTGTTTTTGTTTCTTGCTGTATTGTAAGTCCAGATCAACAGTGAATTGATTTAAAGCGGTCAGGTGGAATGAGGGAGATGGGGAAGCTTGGGAGGGGAGGTAGTGTGTGTGTGTGTGGAGGGGGTAGTGGGTGGAGGGGAGAGGGGGAGAGGGGGTAGTGGGTGGAGGGTGGTGGGTGGAGGGGGTAGTGGGTGGAGGGGGTAGTGGGTGGAGGGGGGAGGGGTAGTGTGTGGAGGGAGAGGGGGCAGTGTGTGGAGGGGGTGGTGTGTGGAAGGTAAGGGTAACGTGGGATAAATTTGCCCTGGAAATCTTACATCAAGGGTGAAGTGACAGGTGGAGGGTAGGGGTGGACAGGAAAGGGGTTGGATGAGAGGATGTGGTCGGAGCCTAGGATGTGAAATACGACATCAAAATCACTCTAAGGGTGAGATGGAGATTGGAGGGTCAGGTGGAATTTGGAGGGTGAGGTTTTGGGTGTTACCTCGGCCTGTTGCTCGAAGAAAGCGAGCTTCTCCTTGATACTTGGTACCTCCTCCACCGGGCGCGTATATACTTCTTGAGAGGCATAACTATTTACAAGAACGACCAAAACACACAAACACAAACTCGACCTTTTCTTTTCTACAATCGTATCTTCACAACAGATCTCAAAGTAATAATAATAAATATTTTTTTCTCCAATTTCCCCAAAAAATCACTGATTGTTAGTTTTCATGGAATATATATATATAAAAAATATACATTAACGCTCTTGGGGTGCAGTTACGTCTGGCCAGGAACTTGATTCAGATACCATGACAATCTTTGCTTATTTTTCCTCTTAATGCTGAAACAAGAGTATAAGAGTCTTGGTTATAAATACATATAAAGGAAGGTGTGCATGTTGTGGTTTATATAAAGGTGTATGACGTCAACATAACCTTCTCTCACCCCCACTCTCATCTACGTTAACAAAACCCTACGAGATTGGACAGGAAGAGGGTGGAGGAGGGGGTATGAGTAAGGTTTCTTTCCATACTCAAACCAGACTTAGAAAAACACAGAACCCCCCCCGCCCCCATGAGACTTCTCCTTTATATAACACACACGGTATATCGAGGTCCGTTAGATGTGACCCTCCCCTAACAGCACTGTGTATTTGTGTTCGATTAAGTAAATATTCAAGAAACGAATCAGCTGACTCATATATGTATGAAACCTAACCTAACCAAACTTAACTAAAACCTCACCCTGAAAAATATCAGTTTATAGCGAACCTTTCCTCACCTTGCCTCACCTTTCCTCACTTGTCCTCACCTTGCCTCACTTCCCTCACTCTCTGAAAGGCGGTAACTACGTCTTTCTAAACGAGATTAAGTATTTACAAGCATTTAGTTAACTCAGCAGAGGCGGCATTAGGAAGGTTTAGTGCTCACCTGTGCTCACCTGTGCTTACCTGGTTACTATAGTTAGACACCATTTATGTCCACGTCGACACACACACACACGTCACTTTTAACTAGCCCCCACTCCCTGTATAATCTTCCTTGTTATTACCTGTTCTATCACCCTAGATTATTTCACCTGATGATTAGACACCCATCCACAACTATAGCACAGGTAAATAAACACATATACTACAAATAAGATATATCAGTCTATTTACTACCTGCCAATACATAAATACAAAGTAGTTCTGTACTGTATTAACCCGTAGATACAGGGCTGTACCCCGGGGTCACGGCATTGACCTTGGTAACTAGAGGCGAATCGGGTACTTTGGATGTGAGGTGTTGTGAGCAATGATTTGTGGCTGTGATGGCTCTCTCCCTCTCTCCTCCCACACGCACACACACACACGCACACACACACACACACACCCCTCCTCCACCCACCAATTGACGTGGGGTTAAGACCAATCATTTCTGGACCTTCATTTTTAATTACCTGAAGACACGCACCACCTGTGCCCCCCACTCACTCACCCCTCTCCCTTACCTCTCCTTCCCTCACCTACCCTCTTCCCCCCTTCTCTCTCACCCAACTACCCCCCATCTGTGCTTGCAATGTACCTGCCGTTTTAGTCATTAAGGTCTAAATACAGGTAAGTGGGAGATACTAACGATAGACCACCACTACTACCACCACTACCACCAACATTCCCATGGTATCTTACAACACATACACACACACCTGTAACACACCTGTAACACACCTGTTCACAAGGTCGAAGAAAACACCTGGACGTATCTTGTATATAAATAGACTCCTCAAGACTTCCACACACACACACACACACAGGTGAAAATAATAATTAGTCAGGTATATTCTAGTCTTTACTCCCACAGCGACAGTACTTGAAGGCCACTAATTAATCCGTCACCTGAGGCCACTGTTTACCATACGAGGCATAAAGGGTGTGTCTCTGTGGCACTATTATGATATGGAAAATTCTTTATACCTGATGCAAATACTGTATGCTATCTCAATGTCTTAGTGTTTGAACCAATTGGCATTAGGTACTTGAGGTAAGTTATTTGTGTTGTTAGTGTAAGGAACATATGAAGTTTAGACCCCACTACGACCCTAACCTAACCATCACTCCAACACTACCCGCAACCACTACAAACCCCCATCACCATCACTCAACACTACCCTCCACCACCGCTCAATACTACCCTCCACCACTACAACCCCCACCACCATCACTCCAACACTACCTCCACCTGTTCACCACTCCCACCAACAACCTATCATTACTACCCCCAACACACCTCACCACTACCCCAACACTTAAATAACACCACAATACAATCACACCTACATTAAAATAACATAACAATCTGAATCAATAACAATTAAATCATCCTTGGCCAAAAGATTTTCAAAATATCCATAATTTTCACGACAAAATTCTCATATCTTTTTTCAAATTCCTTCACGTCAATAAAATACTATGGAATTTTTAAATGTAGTCTAGATTAAGTCAAGAGCTTCGAGACACGTATGCTTGCGGTAGTGGCAGCAGAAGGAGGAGGCTGGTAGTATAGTACAGAGGGGGGACAGACACACCAGCAGGAGGAGATACAAGAAATGTGTCCTTCCTCGTTGACGGTCAGACGGGTACTGACAGGGCCCCAGCCAGGTCGAGACGAGGCGAGGCAGACTTAACCCAGCCTGTGCCAGAGTCTTACTGACAGGGCCCCAGCCAGGTCGAGACGAGGCGAGGCAGACTTAACCCAGCCTGTGCCAGAGTCTTCTACGCTACTCCTAGCCCCTCCCCCCACTCACATATACACACACGCGCGCACGTACGTAACCCTCTCTTCCTCCTCTCCTTCCCTCTCTTTTCTCTCTCTCTCCATTCTCGATAACCTCTCTCTCTCTCTCTCTCTTTCTATTCTACGCATCTAGCCCCCCTCTCCCTCCTTTCCCTCACTCTCTCTTTCTATCTACGTATGTCAGCCTCCCCTTCTCCCTCCTTCCTCTCACTTTCTCTCTTCTACGCACCTCAGCTTCCCCCTCCCCCTCCCCTCCCCTTCCCCTCCTCCATCATTCAGTACACGGCCGCACATTAAGCCACATACGCGCCATGTAAACAAACTATGCACACACACACACACACACACTAATGGCTTTCCAGTTTCCTGTCCAAATAAGACAGATAGATAAATAGATAGCTAGATAGACAGCGTTCTATAGACTTAAAAAGGGATTTACTCATTATAATAGCCGCAACATTCTGGGATTACTGGTTATAAATCCTCCAGCGCCGAGGGA